TATCAATGACATTTCCTCTATCTCTTTCTTGGATGAGGGGCATGAATTTTTGCTCAACTTGAAGTGGTTGGCCAATGGAATGTTGACAAGTTTGGCATTATGCATGTTGAATCTCTTGATCACTCGTTCAACATACTTCTCTTGGGATAGCCCCAACCTTCTATTCTTCCTATCTTGAGTTATGTGTATTCTCAAAATCTGTTGAGCTGGGCCTAAGTCCTTCATGTCGAAGGACTTGGAGAATTCCTTCTTTAACTGTCTGATTTTTGTTGCATCTTGTGCGACGATCAGCATGTCGTCTATATACAATAGAAGAGCAACAAAATTGCCATCCGAAAAGTGTAGAATATAAATGCACTGATCCGCAGTTGTTCTTTTATAGCCTTAACTCACCATGAAAGAGTCAATTTTTTTGTACCACTGTCTGGGTGCTTGCTTAAGACCATATAAGCTCTTCTTTAGCTTGCAAACGAAGTTTTCTTTCCCTAAAACTTCAAAACCTTCTGACTGTTCCATATAAATTTCTTCATATAAATCACCATGAAAAAATGCTATTTTTACATTTATCTGTTCAAGCTCTAGATTCAAACTGGCTATTAATCCAAGGATAACTCGAATTGAGGCCATTTTTACAACAGTTGAAAAAATCTCGTTAAAGTCAACTCCCTTCTTCTGAAGAAATCATTTGACTACCAAACGGGCTTTATATTTTACCACTTTTCCACTGCCATCTTTCTTGAGCTTGAAAACATATTTATTCCTTAATGTCTTCTTTCCCTTCGAAAGCTCAACTAACTCATATGTTTGATTTTTCTGCAGTGACTCCATCTCATTCTGCATTGCTTGTATCCACTTGTCTTTGTCCACATGAGTTTGTGCTTCTTGAAAGCTCTCTGTCTCTCCTTCGTCAGTGAGCAAAATGTACTCTGATTCTAGATATCTTGTTGATGGAGTCCGTCCTCGTTCAGATCTTCTTACCTGTGGATCGTTGATTTCAGGAGGTGCATCATCTGGCTGATGTGATGGTCCAACAACTTCTGGTGAAGAGGATTATGACTCTCCTTGATCAATATCCCCTTCTTCATCCTCTTGTTCTATTTCCGGCATTTCCTCATGCACATCGTCGTTATCTATAGTGAATTGTGCTGGTGCTGAATCTGGAGCAATATTTTGGGCACCAAAATTAGAATTAGGATATATTGTGGGCTTTTCAATATCTTCTAATGTTTGGTTTTCATAGAACACTACGTCCCTGTTTCTGATGACCTTCTTTGTCTTTGGATCCCATAATCCGTATCCAAATTTCTCATCTCCATCGCCTATAAAGATGCATGGAGTGGTCCTTGCATCTAGCTTTTGTCTTAGCTCCTTGGATATATGTGCAAAGGCTAAACAGCCAAATACTCTCAAGTGAGAGTAGGAGGGATATTTATCAGACCATACTTTCTCCGAAATTTCAAAATTCAACGGCATCGATGGTGATCTGTTGATCAAGTAGCAGGCGGTTCGAACAGCTTCTCCCCAAAATGGCTTTGGCAGCTTAGCCATACTTATCATGCTTCTGACATTTTCCATGATCGTCCTATTTATCCTCTCGGCGACTCCATTAAGTTGTGGGGTACGTGGGACCATCTTCTCATGTCGAATACCGTATGTCTTGCAATAGGCATCAAACTCTTTGGAAGTATACTCGCCTCCATTATTTGTGCGAAGACATTTCAGCGTCTTTCCTATTTCACGCTCTACCATGGCATGAAATGATTTGAAGTAATCCAATACTTGGTCCTTCGTCTTTAAGAAATATACCCATACCTTTCGAGAACCGTCATCAATGAATGTTAAAAAATACTTGTTACCGCCTAGTGATTCAACCTCCAAGGGACCACAAACATCAGAGTGTACTAGATTGAGCAACTCTGATCTTCTCGTAGAAGAGAAATTGAAGGAGACTCTATGTTGCTTACCAAATAGACAGTGACTGCAAGGATCCGCGCAGCTTCCTTGGCAACTGTGATTAGCTCCTTCTTTGTTAAAGTAGACAATCCCTTCTCACTCATGTGACCAAGTCTCTAGTGCCACAAATTTTGAGAAGCTTCACGTTCTACTACATTGAGGCTATCCACATGCATTTTCATATTAGTCTTGTATGAAATGCCACATATATGTCCTCGAGTGACAACCATGGAGCATTCTATCATTTTCCATGTGCTATTGATAAATTGATTGACATAGCCCTGTTTGTCAAGGGCTATCACTGAAAGTAGATTTAGCCGAAGATCAGGTACATGTCGAACATCCTTCAGGGTTATTTTACACCCAAGGTTCGTTTGTATCTGAACATCACCAATTCCTATGATCTTAGAAGAACTAGTATTTCCCATCTTCACTGCACCAAAGTCGTCGGCTTTGTATGTTGTGAAGAAATATTTACGTGGAGTGGCGTGATAAGATGCTGCAGTGTCTATTACCCGCTCAATATCTTGGTTTGAGACATGAAGACATGTCTCCTCATGGATGGAGCAGATAGCCACCTCCCCAAAAATAGTGACTAGTGTCTCTCCTTCCTTATTTTTCGGATGCGAACTGTTGTGGCCTTGCTCTCGTAGCAATTTTCTGCAGTTCTGCTTCAAGTGGCCCTCCATACCACAATAGTAGCACTTGTAAGTAGGTTTCCTTCCATCTATGGATCTACCCCTACTTTTGCTTCTGCCTCTCCCCTCGCCTCGAACGTCTCCTTGCTGTCTTCCCCAGTTCATTGTGACAAGGGCATGTGATTGGTTCATGTCTACTTCTTTTCTCTTGGCCTCTTCATTAAATAGGGCATCCTTAACCATAGACATGGTAAGTTTTCCATCAGGGGCTGAGTTTCTAAGAGATACTACTAATGTCTCCCAACTATCAGGAAGAGAACTTAAAAGTAGTAAGGCTTGTATTTCATCCCCAAACGGCATCTCCACAGATGACAGTTGGTTTACCAAGCTCTGAAATTCACTGGTGTGCTCAGCAACTGAAGTTCCACTCTTTAACTTTAGATTCACCAAACGCCTCATCAACAGGGCTTTGTTTCAAGCGGTCTTGGCTTGGTACATGTCCTCCAGAATCTTCTAGAGGGCATATGCATCTGTCTCCTGTGCTACATGGTGAAAAACACTATGGTCAATTCATTGTCGAATTTGATCGATAGTTTTTCTATTTAGCTTCTTTCACTCCGTCTCCTTGGTAGGATCGAGGTTTATAACTTTGGCTTCCAAGAGATCATACAAATCCTTACAACTAAGGAGGTCTTCCATTCGAGGCCTCCACGGTGTGTAATTGGTGGCAGTGAGCTTGATCATAGCTCCTGATGAAAATTCCTCCATTGATATCTTGGCTTGCTAAAGCTTTATCAAAAACTACGAGGGCTAATTGATGAACCTGGCTCTGATACCACTTGTTGTGATTCTCCGATCACGAGAAGAGAATAAAAGAGGAAAAATAATTTTATTTCTACTTGAATAGAATTTACAACGGAGTTTACAAACTCAAAAAAACCTCTCAAAATAGTCTCTCTAATCTCTCTTTTATCTCTCTTCTCTATCCTATTTTTCTTCCCCTCAAGGGACATCTATTTTCTCTTTATGGTAGCACATATTTATAGAAAATTTTTGGCTACAAACTGTCATAAACTTGTGTCGAAAAACCAATCAATAATTGCTGCTGGAGAATTTCATTTCAAATTGTCTTCTTTTATAAATGTTTCTTCTCCATTATGCAATTGAAGTTGTGGCTATCAAAAAAGGTGGAGAGTTTTAATTCAAATTTTCTTCTTCATCCATGCATGTGGATTCTTCTACATTAAGAAAATGAAATTCAACAATTTCGGCGGGAAGAAACTTGATTAATATGCGGCTGGAACACATCATACCAAAACATCTTTCTTTGCTTTTTCTTCTTTTGGCTTGGATACTTTTTTAAATGTTTAATAAATACACCATGCGCCCATATTATATTTAATTAAAAAAAGAAAAAGAAAAAAGAAAGAAGCTTTAAAGCAAGACGGATATACATGCTAATTCTAATTGGAAGATGCTTGAGCTACAGGGGTTCTGTGAACAGAATCCCTATAGATACTCACAACATAGGTAGGGTGGGTGGGGTTTGGACATTATTTTATACATGCGTCTACTGTGAGTACCTATAGGGGTTCTGTGAAAATAGAACCTTTCACAGAACCCCCTGTCATCTCAATTTAATCCTTTCACAGAACCCCTGTCATCTCAGTTTAATCCTAATTCATATGGCGACTTAACAAATTGTCGATTAATTTAATTGATGGCCACTGAACTTCACCGTTCGTGTTACCTTGGCCACTAAGAGTCATTATTGACTTTACAAAATATTTCATTTAGAGCACATATTCAAGTTTGGCGTCCATTTTTTTAACTAAAGCTCCTATTTATTTGTATTGCGACTTACTAGACAAATACATAGAATGTCTAATTCGTTTGGTAGCCATTTTTTTTAAAATACATTTTTTTCTCTATTCTTTTCAACCACACATTCTTTATTAAAATAATATTACATATAAATAAAAAACCTTTCCTTATTTCTCAATCACACATTTCAAATCAATTTACTATTTTAAAATACATTTTTACATAAAAATGCCTATCAAACACACACAAATAATGAAAGTCAAATTTAATTTGCATTTTGAATGAAACATTAGGCGAAGTTCAGTAGTCTGAATTAATTTCATAATGGAAGCAAATAAAAACAAGAAAATGAGGGGGAATGCGGCCAATGCATAGTTTCTTTTTATCTTCTCATTTTGCTCACACTTTTCCCTGCTATTTTTTCTACTTCTTTTATCTTAGCTTTAGGCAAAATATACTCTTTTCCTCCCTTTTTTAGTCTCTTTTTGTGCAACACTTCTTTGATTTTCACCACTTTACTTTACTACATTTCAATTTTTATTTTGCTAATATAAAAGCTATTCTTTTCACAGCCGGGTCCATATATATTTCATTTTACAGCAATAACTACACTTCTTAACACACAAAATATCCCTTATTGCCGTTATACTCGAGCCTTCACTTTCCCACCAGCATTTCGTGTTCTTTACTTTTTACTGCTAGCAAAAAAGGTGGGGGTGCCATGTATACATAATGTGGGTGATTTCTTGATTATCTTGAACCTTTGGTTTCTGGGGTACTCATAAAGTTTCAGTTTTTCTTTCAATTTTGCAGTCATTTTTATGGGATTCTGATAGATTTTATGATTTCGGGTTTGTTTTCAGATTTGTATCATTTGCATTTTGTTCTACAAGGAGTAAGAAATGGCGCCGATAGTGGTGAAGCCTGATGACCCACCGCCGCATATACCAAAAGATCAGCTTCCCAATGTTTTCTACTGCATTACCAGTCCTCCTCCATGGCGTTAGTATCTTATCATATTCATACTGTTTCTTTATAGTCTTAGTAAATACTTTCTGCTATTATTTTGAGGTCTTTGTTATGAAGTGGTAGTGCTTGTGAGTGTAATGAAGAAGCTTGCCTGTGGGGATTCTTTAAGCCACTCGCTGTGTAAATAATCTCGTTTAAAGTATAGTGCCAGTTTGAAGTAATTCCTACGTCTCTGAATATCAAGGATATCTTTTACCTCTTTTTTGAATCTAGTTACTTGTAAGTTTTATAAGTTAATACAAAAAATGGTTTCGAGCAATTTCAATTTCACAATGCGTGGCTTTTGTGTTACAGCTGAGGCCATCCTTCTTGGATTTCAACATTATATAGTAATGCTTGGCACAACCGTCATCATACCCACAGCGCTGGTTCCTCAAATGGGGGGAGGAAATGTGAGCTATTAGTGCTTAAATGACATTAAATTTTCTCCATTATTTTTTTCCTATATGTTTCATATTTATTGACCTTTCCAAATACACGCTCTATTTCCAGGAGGAGAAAGCTAAAGTTATTCAGACTCTGCTGTTTGTTGCTGGATTGAACACTCTATTGCAATCACTCTTTGGAACAAGATTACCTGTTGTGATCGGAGGGTCATACACTTTTGTTGCACCCACAATTTCGATTATCCTGTCTGGTCGATGGAATGATCCAGACCCTGTTTCGGTGAGCGATCTTGATACTGTACCCAATGCCTTTTGTTCTTCAGATGTCATGAGTCCTGCAGTGCTTGCTATATAAACTTATAGCATGTTTGTTTGTGCATAAAAATGAATTGAATATACCTTTAAGTTGCTTCCTTTGCCAAACATGATTTTCAAAATTACATTTTTGTCTAGAAAGTAATTTTTAAGCACTACTAAGAACCAGTTTGCTGGATTTTTGAAAAGAAACTAAGAAATTACTTTTGAACATGTTTAAATTTTGAAAGTTCTTTGTTTGGCAACAAGAGTAGTCAGCTTCCTCTGGATGCTCTCTCAGAAGAAGTAGAAGCAAAAGCAGAAGTCCTGTCAAATTGGACCTAAAAATACTATTGAGATGCACTTGGTGGTTTGTCACCCAAATGTCCATGTTGATAGAAATTCAGCTATTTGTTATGAGTGAGTTGAAAATTAAATGGTGCTAAAGCCTAGTAAGTCTCAGGGCAACATTGCACTGAGGGAGCTTTATTAAAAGTGGTGTAAATTGCCTCTAGTTACTTTTGGTGAAATTTGGTCCAAATAAATGATTTACTTCCAATGGCTGCGCAGAAATTCAAGAAGATAATGAGGGCCACACAGGGTGCACTTATTGTAGCTTCAACCATTCAAATAGTACTAGGTTTCAGTGGCCTTTGGCGTAATGTTGCAAGGTTTGTTTGCATTACAAAATTAATATACATGTACTTAGTTTCCTTGCTTAGCTTAACTGGACCTTGTTTCTCCTGATACTGTTTATAATCAACATGTCTGTTGTAATGATATATTTATCCAGTTTTTTATGCAGTGTTTTGATTGTTCTCAGTATCATTAAAACTAACTTAATATATCCATGTTATCTAGGTACCTGAGTCCACTTTCAGCTGTTCCACTAGTTGCTCTTGCAGGTTTTGGGCTTTATGAGTTTGGTTTCCCTGGGGTATGCACGAGTCTTTACTGGATCTCTCTCTTTCTGTCGAAATGATTTTACTTTGTTTGACTACTGGCTTTTGTTAGTTGCTAAAAGGGGTTGGATACGATCTCTTTCCTTTTTTCTTTAGGTTGGCAAATGTGTTGAAATTGGGTTGCCACAGCTCATAATTGTAATTTTTATTTCTCAGGTAATAGTCTTAATTGCACTTTGACAATTCTCTTACATGATTTAGGAACGCCACTTTCCATTTCATAACATTTTTGGTAAAGTTCAACATATCTTATGTCACATGCCATCTTGTAGTTAAATGTTTTAGGATAGATATAATTTTTCTTATTATTGCAGTATTTGTTCTATGCGATCCAATTCCAAGAAGCGTTCTACTGTTAATTTTTATGGTTATTGCAGTATCTGGTTGACCTGATAAAGCCAGGAAAGCATATCTTTGAACGTTTTGCGGTTTTAATCACGGTGGTGATTGTATGGATTTATGCTCATTTACTTACTGTGGGTGGGGCATATAACGATAAAGCACCAAAGACTCAAACAAGCTGCAGAACCGATCGTGCAGGACTCATTGACGCTGCTCCATGGTAAGCAAATCCCCCCTTTCCCCTCTTAACGTTAGTAGTCAATTACTCTGGTATTTTCGCTTGTTACCCAGTCATTTGATGGCATAATTTCAATGTTGGACGCATCATTTGTTTTACAATCAAGTGGGTTAATTCTTTAATTGCCATCATGCACTTAGATTGCTTTGGGCAAGGATGGGCAGAAGCTGTTTAGAGATTTAATCCCCAATAACAATCCTGAAAGCAATAATAATTGAGAAGAAAAACAGAAATACGCATGCACATGCAAACAAACAAATTTTGTAGTGGCTTGCTCTCAACGGGAGATCTGCATTCACTTGCCGCTACAGTAATTTGTTTATACTTGCATACATTAATTTTTTTTCATGAGATGTCTCGCTGAATTTGGATGACATTTGCGTACATAATCATCTTTCATCTAGCCCAGTAAAGAAATGCAGAAGAAAGTGCGTTAAGCTGTTCATTCTTAATGAACCTTAAGGGCGGATTCAATGAGTTTTCCAATTATGCTGCTATCATATTGATTTAAAATCTTCAAATGGATAATAAATTACTACAGATTAATCATTAACAAGGTAGTGGATAATCTTTACTAATCTGATTGTCTGTCTCATCATACATGAGTGAGCTCAATTGGAGTGACTAATGTGCAATGGTTAAATTACAGCAATGGTTTGGTACTAACAGCATTTGGTGCATTTTGTTTTGAATTGCTAATGTTAACTATAAACAAATGCATTGATGCACTTGGCCAACGAGTTCTTCATGGTTTTCGGGGTATCCTTGCAGGATAAGAGTTCCATACCCGTTTCAATGGGGAGCACCTTCATTTGATGCTGGTGAAGCCTTTGCCATGATGATGGCAGCGTTTGTTGCTCTTGTAGAGGTTTGTTTTCAGCATTGCTCAGTGCTTACAAAATTGCAGTATCATTCGGTGCTCTATTGTCGTTCCATCCAGTAATTGGCATCCCTTTTATAACCATAGATTCTTGTTTACAATCAAATTTGGGTTCTGCTGATTTTTGATTATTCAGAGCATGTATGCCTAAGCTTGACTACTGAAAAAATTATGTACTGAAAATCTAAAGAAAGTAACTTCCACAAATCTCAAACACGTTTGGCAAAAAAGTTAGTACAAAGTAGCTTTAAAGCTTAACCAAACATGCTTTCATTGTGTTGTTTTTTTATTTCTTTTTTATTATGCATAAATTCTTCGACTATTTCTAACTCTCCTTTTTTTTTTTGCACATTTTTCCAAATGGTAAATGCAGTCCTGTGGTGCCTTCATTGGTGCGTCCAGATTATCTAGTGCAACTCCTTTGCCACCATCTATTCTTGGCCGTGGTATTGGCTGGCAGGTAAATACGACACCTCATAGGCCCCGTCCATCAGACCTCCCATCCCAAAAAATTAAAAAATTAAAAAATTAAAAGTAAAAGAGTCACATTCGAAGGAGAAAAGAGAAGGGAAGAATAAAATTGCAAGGCCAATATTGTTTACCTGGATAAATTTGTTGCATTGTTCATACATCCAATCATCTTCTTTGTACATTGTTTGCTCAAATCTAAACAAACCTCAATATGCTATAAGCAAGAGATAATACAAAAGTGAATAATTAATAAACATTGTGAAGTCATTTCTGATTGTGAATGGTTAAGGTGAAAATTCACTGTGAAAGTTTACTTTCTGGGTCACCTTTGATCAATAAATTATATCGTTTTGCTCAGGAAATAGGTGATAATTAAGGTCAGGAAACATTTTGGATGATTTCTTTATGCTTCAGAATGGAAACATTGAAGATGAATACGTGATTGACATACTTGTATCAGTAAAGATTTTGTTAATCAATTATTTTGAATGTAAAGAACTCAAGAGGCATATCCAGTTCCATTTTCAAATGATTTTTCTCAAAGCATTTCTAAAATTATTTGCCTATGTTAATGTCTCAGGGCGTTGCTATCTTGTTGTCCGGTTTGTTTGGAACTGGAAATGGATCATCAGTTGCTGTGTAAGAGATTACATTTTTTTTTTCTGCTTAATTACTTAATTCTAACTTATTCAGTCATAACTTCCTTATAATTCGACTGCTTTTCTTTGCTCCTGTAAAGTGAGAACGTTGGCTTGATAGGACTGACGCGTGTTGGCAGTCGAAGAGTTGTGCAGATATCTGCTGGATTCATGCTTTTCTTTTCTGTTCTTGGTTGAGTACTCTAAAATTTTCAATTCATGCAGATTAGTTGATCTCTTTCCTAAGTAATCTCTTTCTGTTGTATCGTCTTAATTAAGAATAATTTCCTCTGCAGGCAAATTTGGAGCAGTCTTCGCTTCTATCCCAGCACCAATTTTTGCTGCTTTATATTGTGTTTTTTTTGCTTATGTTGGTATGCATAACTAACCCGTCAAAAATCTCACTTTGAATTTCTTAAAGCTATTATTGATATATGAACTTATTCTGTAATTTTAATTAACATGAATATACAGGTTCAAGCGGTCTAGCTTTTCTTCAGTTCTGCCAGCTTAACAGTTTCCGCAACAAATTCATATTAGGCTTTTCGATATTCATGGGATTGTCCGTGCCCCAATACTTCAACGAGTACACTGCTATTAAGGGCTATGGCCCTGCCCACACGTCTGGGAGATGGGTATGCACAAAAAATTACTTTATTAGTGCGTTTTATGTACATCATTAGACCATACTCAACAATACAATGAACGAGATTTTAGCGTTTATTTAATCATTAATACTATTGAGTATCTGGTCCATCTTACCAAATATGCCATTAGTGGTTAAATTTCTTGCTTCTTCCAAAGTTTTACTCACAAAAATGTTGATTTTGCTTGTTTTCTGTGGCCAGTTCAACGACATAATAAACGTCCCTTTCTCATCGGAAGCCTTTGTGGCCGGGATATTGGCGTATTTTCTCGACAACACATTAGACAAGAAGGATCCTCAAGTAAGGAATGATAGAGGAAGACATTGGTGGGACAGATTCCATTCCTTCAAGAGTGATGCAAGAAGTGAGGAATTCTATTCCCTTCCCTTCAATCTCAATAAATATTTCCCATCTGTGTAAGTTTTCCTCGTGTCGTTAAGTAGTTCTTAATAACTAAATATGGGCCAAAGAGACCGTACCATTGTTGTTCAACTTTTATAATTTGTAACATGGTAAAGAAATATAAACAGCCTGACCATTTCAAGGAAGTATAGAGTCGATTCTTGAGTCTCAGAGTCAATGAACTTGTTGATGTTTGTTCGAATTTATTTCTTTATCTATAAATCTATTTGTTATGAATATGAATTTGAAGTAGCAATGAAGCAATGGTTACGAATTTTCAGTTGTCAAGTTGAGCTGTATGTATGTTTTTTCTTAGATATAAATCCACACGTGCACGTAGAATATTGATCAAATGTGCTGAAATATGATTGAAATAGCAATATAGGAAAGGCCTTTATAAGGCATGTTAAACACCCTAGTATGTAATTGTTCGATATATGTTGATATTATTTTATGAGTAATGCTATTCATATTAAAGACTACTGTAATCGTCATCATCCTACGTGGCATACATGACTGCCACGTGTATACGTAAGGTGTCTATTAATAATTTTTACTATGAATAACATTATTCTTATTTTATAGGTGTAGTTTGTGTGTAGTGTTTTGAGGCCTTAATGAAAGCTCGAAAACTCATTTGTAACTGTGCAAAGCAATAATTCGAACCCAAATACTACTTTTGAACTCGAAGACCATAATACTATTTTTAGTTGGAAGAAAGGATTTAGGTAACCTATACCAGAATCACTTTCAATGTTCTGATATGTGCTCAAGAACCTTCGAAAATGCATATTTTTGGTAGTATAAATGAGTCTAAAATCATGAAACCAAATAGATTTTCTGAGTGTCCCTCAGCTTACTTCTATAACTCTCCTATTTGATAGCTTGTTTACAACTACGACCTTAACATTATACGCGGTTTAACGCCACTTTTGATGTACAGACTAATCTAGACGACCTTGTTGCTTTGGCCTCCCACCAGTTGCAAAAACTTTCTAATAATCTTATTTAATTAACAGTAACTCCATTATTAATCCTATTAAGCTTAGAGGTTAATCAAATAAAATGGAAGTCATAGTGAGATATGTTGACCAGCATTGCCCTTACAAAACACTAAAACTATAATCCTATTTGTTTGGTGATAGAGGGAAGGGGGGCTCGTAAGAATGTTTAATGCAATGGTGTGACATTTGGGCCTACAAAATATTGTTTTCAACCACTTAATTACATGAAAAAGAAAAGAAATTCTATGCTACCCACTCATTTCTTCATTTATATCATGAAAGAAACAAGAAAAATGAAAAACTTATCATTCGCATTCAAAGCTTTGTATCTATATATGGTAGAGAGTATTCGGTAAAGCAGATTTGATGGTATTGAATAGTATTAAGAAAGAAGTTAAAATCTTATTGATTGTACTGTCTTATATTGTTAACCATACATCAAATGTACTCCCGAAAAATAAAAAAACATGTTGAATATATATTTTCATCGAGAAATTATTTTTCTTTAAAATAAAATTAACCTCACTTGCATGCGCACATGCAAATACACTATTATTTACCTCGCATTTTTTTAATCTTAGTAAATCAAATTTGAAAAAAGAAGTAAATATAACCACACAAATCAATTTCCAATTTTCTAATATTTCTTGGAATTTTACTTTCTCACTTGAACATTCAGCCACAATCCCCTCTTAGACGAACCCCTCAATCAGTGGCAAAGTCACAGGGATGGTGACCGTTCCTGCAACATTTTGATTTTTTAATAAAAAATTATATAGAAATTCCAAATTTTTTGATATACATAATTACATATATTTTTTTGTTCCTTGAATACTTTTCACCTCCCCATTGTGAAATTCAGGTTCTGCCACAGTCCTCTATGGCTCTTTCCAAGGAACTCGACAAAATATTCTACAAATTTAGGGAAAGAGGTACCTCCTTACAAAGGATCAAGAACTTCAACTTTGTGTCCTTAGATCCACCACATGTTGGGTTCGAGAGCCTTGCTTTTGAATTACTCCGTGCTGCATCTTACATTTTGGTGAAATATAGCCCATGCTTGGCGATTTTAATTTAAGTCAAAATCAACAATTTATTTTAATCACAAATTTTATAGGATTCACAATTTTTCAATCACACATTTTCAGAGGAGGATTCAGGGATGGGCAGACCAGTGCTAAGCTCGTCTGTCCGCCCCAAATTCCCTTTAAAAAAAAAATTAGTAAATTTTTTTTTTATGTGTAAGTTATTATTATTATTTTCTGTGCTGTATTAGCCCGTGTTCATGCCGGAAGCTGGATCAACCAGTGACATTTTATCAATCTTTATCAAAATTTACTAAAAATATGATTTTAATATCCACCAAATAGGGACTATAATTCTATTTCATATACTAAAACAATATTTTCTTTTACGTTTTAACCTTATAATAATATATACAAATATAAGTAAAATTCATATGGTTGATGCAAATATTCCGACATTTCAATCAGATATCATACCGAAATTGTGGATAAAACGTGAGAGCCTTGTTTATTGGGCAGAGCATAAGATTTTTATTTGCCCATGCTTGCTAGAAGAGGGATTGCCCATCCCAATTTTTTTTTTTTCCCTTAAAGTTCTAGCATTGCTTGAGTCGTCTATAAACAACTTAATAATTTAGTAACGTGCACGTTATAAAACAAGAACTCAGTTGAATACGGTTCAAAAAACATGTTGAATATATATTTTCATCGAGAAATTATTTTTCTTTAAAATAAAATTAACCTCACTTGCATGCGCACATGCAAATACACTATTATTTACCTCGCATTTTTTTAATCTTAGTAAATCAAATTTGAAAAAAGAAGTAAATATAACCACACAAATCAATTTCCAATTTTCTAATATTTCTTGGAATTTTACTTTCTCACTTGAACATTCAGCCACAATCCCCTCTTAGACGAACCCCTCAATCAGTGGCAAAGTCACAGGGATGGTGACCGTTCCTGCAACATTTTGATTTTTTAATAAAAAATTATATAGAAATTCCAAATTTTTTGATATACATAATTACATATATTTTTTTGTTCCTTGAATACTTTTCACCTCCCCATTGTGAAATTCAGGTTCTGCCACAGTCCTCTATGGCTCTTTCCAAGGAACTCGACAAAATATTCTACAAATTTAGGGAAAGAGGTACCTCCTTACAAAGGATCAAGAACTTCAACTTTGTGTCCTTAGATCCACCACATGTTGGGTTCGAGAGCCTTGCTTTTGAATTACTCCGTGCTGCATCTTACATTTTGGTGAAATATAGCCCATGCTTGGCGATTTTAATTTAAGTCAAAATCAACAATTTATTTTAATCACAAATTTTATAGGATTCACAATTTTTCAATCACACATTTTCAGAGGAGGATTCAGGGATGGGCAGACCAGTGCTAAGCTCGTCTGTCCGCCCCAAATTCCCTTTAAAAAAAAAATTAGTAAATTTTTTTTTTATGTGTAAGTTATTATTATTATTTTCTGTGCTGTATTAGCCCGTGTTCATGCCGGAAGCTGGATCAACCAGTGACATTTTATCAATCTTTATCAAAATTTACTAAAAATATGATTTTAATATCCACCAAATAGGGACTATAATTCTATTTCATATACTAAAACAATATTTTCTTTTACGTTTTAACCTTATAATAATATATACAAATATAAGTAAAATTCATATGGTTGATGCAAATATTCCGACATTTCAATCAGATATCATACCGAAATTGTGGATAAAACGTGAGAGCCTTGTTTATTGGGCAGAGCATAAGATTTTTATTTGCCCATGCTTGCTCGAAGAGGGATTGCCCATCCCAAATTTTTTTCCCCCCTTAAAGTTGTTGCATTGCTTGAGTCGTCTATAAACAACTTAATAATTTAGTAACGTGCACGTTATAAAACAAGAACTCAGTTGAATACGGTTCAATTCACGTTACTAAACCTAACATAAGCATTTAGTTGCAGTGCGGGATCTTCTAGAAATATTTTCGACGCGAAAAATTCTCCGTCGATCATATTAAAATCATTTTGGTCTCGTCCTTTCTTATTTCATTTTTTGTTTTTTCTTTCATTAAGAGTGTATAAATGCTTTAAAATTCTTGATCAAGATTTTCTACCTTTTTCTTACAATTCAAATTATTAAAGAAAGGCCTTTTGCTTTTACGGTTTAGCTCTGAACCAGAATCTTAAAGTGTAAACCAGTGGAAGAATTGGAAGATTTTTTGTGCTCTCAAAGGCATAAATGTGATCTAATTTAAAATGAATTGAGAAGATTTTGTGACCAAATTACATTAATAATTTTGAGAAAAAAGTGGACCACTATGAATTGTCACTCGTCTGATTTGAAGACAGAAAAACCTCACAGATTATTTTGGCCAGAAAGTTGATTTTTTTGTGTTTGAAAGAAAGCCACATGATTTGTACCTTTTGTTTGTTTCCAAGCCTCAACAACTAATAATAAAACTTGTAATGACCAAACATCCCTCCTTCCCCGAACTACTAACATTCTACCTAGAGGTATAAAAGTGAGTCCCATCGAAGAAATGAAAAAACTTGACTCGTGTAAGGCTCGACTATTGGGGTATACGATTTGTGCAAATGAAACTCATTGAAAAATGAAAAAGGTTGTGGGATACTAAATAATGCGGATTGTGCCTTTGTTCAATTACTGACGGGCTGACTCAATTCATTTTGCACCGAATTTTAGCGATTGGTGAATTTTTGGGTTATAAATTTCAAAGATTGGGAAATTCAAATTGGTCAAGGAAATCTTTATTAATGATTTGAAATCCCATTCTTGTATTCCACTATGTAAAATTATTATGAGTAATAATTCAATCATTAAGATAAACCATCAAATTATTAGGACAAAAATTGAGATTGGAATGAGATTTCACATTAGATTATTACAAACAAAAGGTTTCACAAATTACAAAAGCTAGCCTCGTCCAGTCTTTATTACATCATGGATTATAACTTCTATATATTTTTTTTCTTCCTTGGCTTTGCCTTTCCCACATTTCTTTCTTTCTAAACGAAGCAACTAGACTCGAGAGATGAATTGTGCTGGACTCAATTCTCTAGATGCACGACTCGCGCAGAGTCAAAATGGAAAATTTTGTCAAAGCTCATGTGGATTGGGTCTTTGTCTATGAACCCGACCTAATCTAATTTACAACTTTAATGAAAACTAGAAACACAATAATGTA